TGGTCAGAGACGATGTGGACGGACGTGTGCCCCAGACTCGTGGGCTTTGTATGTCAGTTACGTATATTCACGACTATTATCATTTCTCTATACTCTTAATGTAGAGAATATTTAGGTGACAAATAACTGATTCCTAAACAGTAATGTTTCAAATCCAGTTTTAAACCCCAGTTCTGCAGTACTTGTTGAGCACATGTATGCTGAATGTATGCTATACCAGTGGGCGCTCGAAAACATTGTTCGACATTGGAGAACTATGCTTGCCATGAGTGTAAAAGAGACAATTGACACCACTCTGTCTATTAAATATGAAGCTACAGACAGCTGAGATAACTTCCTCTGCAACCAGCAGAGACCCCAGGAAGTCACTGCTTCCAGCCAAGAAATAGTCCAGCGTATAACACCGTGTACAACCACAACTTACTGTTTTTACACTTTGCTACAGATTAAACAAACAAGATGTAACACGCTAATTAGCAAATGTTACCTCTCGAGACAGCCACACTGACTGTTTCCCCTCTTTCCAGTCTTTATGGTAAACTAACCCTCTCCTGGCTGTAGCTTCATAATTAGTGCACAGTTGTGAGAGCTCTATCGATCTCCTTGCTTTTTTGTAAATGCAGCAGCTAGCGGCTACATTAGCCACTGCTAGCATGACACAGCCAAGTTGTCAACTGAGCTGTCAGAGGTCACCTTGCATTGTGGGTAATGTAGGTATACAAGTTTTTGACAAGAACGAATAATACATGAAATAAACTAGAATTACTGCCTTGCGGCTTTATGCCTTTGCATAATCAGTTAGTCCTTGAGTCCAGGTGGAAAATTTGAGCAAACTTCCTCAAGGCGTCCCTGAGATATCAAATTCACGAGGGGGGTATGCTACTTGCGGACATATGGACCGACAACCCGTCTGGCTGTTGCCGTCCCGTTGGGTGCATCAATTTTGATGGTTTCTTTTAACTCTCTCTCCTGAGTCCGACAATTTTATAGGACTGCTAATGTTAAATCAGTGCAGTACTCTATCGAGACACAAGATCAAACATTCACGAAGGTCTTTCAAAAATAAATCCTGGTCCAGGTAAGGTAGAGTGACACAATGCAAATAATTTCATTATGTAATAACTTCAATTTAAAACCACTTGCAAACATCCCATATAATCTAACATACAAATAACAATGGTGGACTGTTTCTCTCCTATAAAAAATAAAGAAGAAACCATTGCTAAGGAAATCATATTATCTTAAATCTTCTTCATGCTTTTGGGATAACTATCTTGTGTGTCTCTCCCTAACTTTCCTGACAGCAGTACACATTAACAGTGTTCTTTCTGTTTTGGCTCATCACAGCTGAATGACCACAGAGACAACACTGCTACACTTTGAATACAATCTCCTCTCTGCTGGTAAACAGTGGTGTCCCATTGCAGCAGTGTATTTAGAAGTCTGTTCTAGCCCAAACAGGGATTATGACAAAGCCCACCGCTGCCTCTTTTAGACCACTAAGTACTTTCTGCTGCTGCTGAAGGCTACTAGGCTGCTGAGGCATAATGGCAGCTGTATGTGTGTATGAGATTGAGATAGAGACAAAGAAACAAAGTGAAACAGAGGGAGAGAGTAAATGTGTGGCAGTGGAAAAAGAAAAAGTGTCTTAACAGCAGCTCACACACAGCGACAATGAGTGAGCAGCACTTAAGATCCGTCTGATAGAACTTTGTCTGCATGCTTGAAACTCAGTAAAAGCAAACTGTAGAGGAAAAGATATCAAGGACACTAAACTTGTGATGCATTGACCAAAATTGTCAAGGAGAGGAAAAACTTTTTTTCAACTTGAATTGTCTGTTGATTGTCATCTGATCTCAACAGGTGGAAGAAAACTAAAAGTATGGTGCCCCCTTGGGGACAAACAACATGCATCCCCAGTCACTGCAAGATCAACAAATCTTTTGATGGTTTAGTCCAGTCCATGAGGAGTTCTACTACTATAAGTATATATATTTAATAACTAATATAATTCACGAATATTAACTGCTATATCTTTTTATCTTCTGATCCTCTGTTCTGATCTGGTATAGGTAATATTAAGGCCTCAGTGTTTAATGTCAAATGCTGAAGTGAAGTGAGTCATTCGCCATCTTAAAAGCCTCTCAAATGTCATTATGCTTCATGCACTGGAAAACCCGTACTACCTTGAGAAAAGCCAACAACTGCAATGAAAGGTGACCTATTTTATAATGTCTCTCAAGAGAAATAATAGCAACCAGCGCTTTCATCCATTGAAGAGAATATCCATGCACAATCTGGTTGGTATCTACAACAAATGCACAACAGAAGCCCTTGGAGTGAAATGTAATGGAAAAGCAATATGAAGTTTCTTTTTTTCATTTACAAGTTCATGACCTCACCAGTAGCCACTGCCCTGTCATCATTTACACACACAAACACACACACACACACACACACCCATACACTCTCACAGCTTCTCTACGGTGTGTAACTCAGGGTAGAGCCCCGTCATGTTGAAAGATGCTGTTGCCAGCACACCTGTGTGTGTGTGTGTGTGTGTGTGTGTGTGTGTTCACAACCGTTCATACATGGATTTCCTTTGTGTGTATGTGTGTGCACATGAAAACACCCTCTCATGTTTCAGCAGTAATCGCCCTGCTGAAACATGCGTCTCCCACTCAAAGGTTCCAGGCTGCTGTTTAATACAAACACCACACAGCAGCGTTTCCTTAACAACTGGGGAGTCAGGGGGGGGGGTGCCTTACCTAAAGAGTATGATACACTGAGCAAAATAAGCTTTATTGAATTAGTTGAATTGGAGTGCATTATGTCACAAATTATTTGCATTTGTGTCAAGGGTTTTGTATTCATATTTTGATTTGAAATATATGGATGCTAATCTGTCACCATGATCATCATTTGAAGGACTTTTTATATATTTTATTTAACCTTTATTTAACCAGGAAGTCCCTTGAGGTAGAAATCTCTTTTCTGAGGGAGACGTGGCCAAGATAGCACACCAGTTACAGTTTAAATATGAATAAAACACAACAGAAATAGAGAAATATAATCATAAACACAAGAAAAAAGACTAAATCCAGCTCAAATAAAGCAGTTGCATTTATTTAATCCTGATAACATACTTCAATGAGCTGAAAAATACCAGAAGAGGGCTTATGTTGGACAACAGCCTCCTATAAAATGTATATAATTAGACAGAAACCTACCATCACCCTCTCAACATGGAGATACTGAGCAAACACATAATAGTAAAATAAGTTGCATCAATTGCCACCGGTACAGTAAATGTGGATTCTCTTTAGAGTTACATCACACTTCAAATGGATCAATGTACTCTGTACTGTATTGACATACAGGACAGGAGGAAGATGCCTCATCCTCTAAAGCAGTAAACATTCCATCCTCACAAATGTCTTAACATTGTCAATCTCAGTCCCCCCCCCCTGAGCGGAGGCTACCTTTGCACACATGTTGAGACACTTGAATGTCAGGACACCTCATGTTTGAGGCATTATCCGTTTTCAAAACAATCCCACAGGGAACCTCTCCTTCACCTCACTCTGCTAACCAAGCACCATCTGCTCAATACATTCCTAACTGCTGGCCACAGTGTGGTCCTCATTTAAAGCATCCATATGTAAATGAGCAGTTAACAGCACCTGTCGTTCCTGAATGAATGGCCCAGTGTCCTCTAAGGAACAAATATGCACTGGTGGAGAATATACAGTACTTGTCCAGATGCCAGTTGTGCTGTGGCTTTTTCCTGATACACATGCAAGAACCAATGTTTTTCATGTTCAGCATGCATAAGTCCATGAATGCAATTGATGCATATACATGTCTCCACGCTTTGAGAGCCAGGCCTTGTCTCAGTGACTAACATTAGGTTGCTTGTAAAGCATTTAATGCATCAGAGAGATATTTCAATGCCTAATACCCCTGCCTCAGCTCATGCTGCTTTAACACGTTACAAACCTCGTAGTTGTCCATGCATCCAGATACTAATCAATTTTCTCTTGGCAACTGAGGCTCAATCACCCGTATTAGTGCAGGCTATAAGGTGGCTCACAGAAGACTGCTGCCATTTATATTTGCAAACAAGCAGTACTCACAAAAAAAAAAAAAAAAAAGTGCATAAATATTGAGGAGCTATATTACTATCTCTCTTATGTTTGTGCAGAGCCACTGCAAAAATACCACTGTGAGCTTTTATAGTTCAAGTTAGATATTTCAGGACAAGTAAAATATACAGTAATTTATAAAGTATATGGTTTAACTAACTTAATGTTGCTCTTGGCAAGTTTGGATTTTAGAGAAGCAAGCAACCTGACTGACTCCCTTCACTGCAATCCTTACATATTCTGTGGCTGCACACTGTGGGCTATTTTGTTTGCTTGGTTGTCTACAAAATCGAATTATTTGCAGAGGGTGGTGCAAAGGGTGGTCCCAGTACTTCAATTTGCTCTTGATGAGGGCCTCACGCTCCTCAGTTTGCAGGACGACTATAATGGACCACACCGATCATCTTCTGTTACTCTATCAATTCTCATCCATATGCTTCAGTATTTCTATTGATTTGTGTCGTTTCCAACTTTGATAATACTGGTTGATTATTGATTATCTAATAAATATAATCCTGCTCACTTGTGCTGCAGTAATCAGAGGTTGGTGTGTATACTGAAAATAAATTTCACGGAGTACAGTAGATAGTTAATATTACTCTGCATCATTACTGGTTTGAGATGTTTGTCAACTTGTTTTATCTCCTCGACCAGCAGGGCAGCAGGGGAAATATTAGCATAAAACTGTTTAACAGAGGGCACTTAAATTTAATGTTTCCCATTAAAATGGTACTTAAGTAGCATCTTAAATAGACTATAAACTATTTGACTAACTCAAACACCCATAGTGATAATACATGCAAACAGTATTTGACTAACTAGACTGATTAATTGAATGATTCATTTTGCTCTTACCTGTAAATGAGGGTTGATGCAAGCTGAATTTCACTTTCACAGATGGGGCTGGCCACACAGCTCTGCAATCCCTACACACACACAAGAAAATACAGAAAGAAAACACAAAGGCTCATTTTCAGAAACATCAGAGTATGATTCAACAATAATAATACTTTTCATACAAACGCAGAGCAGTCGTTCTCTGTGGCTGCTGGCTGTATACTGCAGCTTATGTTATCATGTACACCTGTTGTGTTTTTACCTTATAATAAAGACTTCTATTGTGGTACCAAATGAACATGTTTCCTCAAATACGTATAAAATCCATAGCTTTAATTCAGAGTGAGCTTTTCTTTATGCTGAGGAGCTTTTATGGACCTCATATGTTTGGCCTTGTTTTATTTGACGGATCAAGTTAAATGGAACACACATTAATTCATACAAAAATGGGCAAACAGTGACGTTAAAACATTGTGTTTTCTGTAATACAGACACAGGTTGTATGCCAAGGATTGCACATTTTATTAGATCTTGCATGGGGAGGTTCAGGTCGTACAGATTCCCACCTGTGGAGTTGGAAAATTTAACTCAAATAAATATTCTTTATATAAACATGACACTCTGGGCGGGTCCATTTCTTCATCTCTAAGAAAACACAACCTCCAAAACACTCTAACTCGCACTGGATTCATTTCACACAAGGTTTCTTTTTATTGCCACCCTATAAACCACTCCAGCCGTATGCATGTGTGAGTGTGTGTCTCTGTTTTGCATGTCTGTCTGTGGCCTTTTGCGTTATCCCCCCCCATAGTCAGAACCACCACTGGACAAAGAGGTCAATTCATATTAGGTGTTAGGAAGGCCAGATTGTCCATAAATCAAAGGTCTACAAAATTTAACACATCTTGCAAAGCCCAAGTGGAAAAATAAATTAAAATTACAACATTTAATCAAATAAAGGTGCCATTCAGTTGCTGACAAAGAAAATCACATTCGGTCATTTCTGAGTCAAAAAAGTCAGGAATAATAGTTAATTTAGCTCACACACAGCTGCAGTAAAATACATCCCGGAGGACTGCCAAAACTCTCCATTTAACGGTCATGATAGGGTGGACTTATCCAGACTGGAATGGAATGCATACTCAGATATACAGTACCTTTAAACATGTCACACAGATTTAGACAAATAAAACATCTTGAGTTTGTTGGCATAGCTGCCAGATGAAGGGTGATGAATGAGAATCATCATTACATCTAAGAGAATATAAAAATATAACCCAGGCCCAGGCTTGACTGTACGCATAATAAAGGAAGATTTACGGTAGAGCAAGCTCAATCAAGTTTGTTTTAAGCAGGCTGAACCAACACTGATTATCAAGTTATTGCAAAACTAAATACCAGCGTAAACATGATTAAAAATAGTGGATAGTGTTTGGCTAGACAGACGTCGACACCTACTAGGCTCCAGTCTGATGGAGAAGTTTGCAAGTCTTTGTTTATGCCACATGTTCTCAAACAAAATAACCCTATCTGTTCGACCTGACCTGAACAGTTAACGGGCAAAATAACATACACCGTGACAAGAATGACAAATTCTTGCACATATTAAAGAGAAAAATACTGTCACCAACTCCGACATTAATATTAATGGGTACAACACCTCAGCTCACCTGCAAATCAACATTTTATCAACTGAGTGGAATAATAAATAGCTTCAATCTACTCCACATCTGATCTGAGGTATGTGGGAAGCAGAAAGTGCCACTGTGGGTGTCAGCTTACACTCCAGCCTTCAGGTATCAAAAGCGGGCGTGTTGTGGCGAGAGCCAGGCGGTGTGCCAGACAGTTGGTTTGCTTCTGAAAGGATCAGTGAGGGGGATTACTGCCTAAATCCCTTCTTTCACTGAGTTCCTACAATCTGTCATTTCTCTGACTGCTTCACAATTGCCAATGAAAACACAGACAGGTAGGGTGACTCGAGAAAAGAAGTGGCCTGCAGAGGAAACACATGTAGATGTAGATTGACGTGTAAACACTTTCTACCGTGTGCGGTGTCCTTCACAATGTTTCTCTCCGATAAGCTCCGCCTGTTTTGTTGTTACACACTCATTCTCATCCGTGTGAAACCTTGCATAGACGAGAGAAAGGTGTTGTTTGGAAAACACAGATGACTGACAGATTCCAGGGTGTGTCAGCTAATTCCCACAAAGTTTTAGACAAATAATCACACGCACACCGTACATAAGCCAAACCAAACACACACACACACACACACACAAGCACTCACACAAGCATGCATAGCTCAAGTTTAAGATGTATAATAAGCAGAGTAACGTCAAGTTAATGATCAAATATAAAAACGATCTCAATGTGGTCTTTTTTCACCAACTGGAACTAAGATGTCGTGACTACTTCAAGGACTTTCCACATCATAGATCTCAACAGCACTGACAAAAATGTAGTGCCTAACTTCTACAACATGTGGAAGTCAAATACAAGCCCGATGCAGATCTGGGAAGAATAGAAACACAATAAAAGAAGCAAGGAGGAGAAAGAGAATCATGGGATATTATTTCCAAACTACAGACAGACATGACTGACATGACCATCATTTCCATGTAAAGGTTATCCATCCATGTGTTTGTCTGTCTATAAATGGGTGTATACACTTACACAAACATTGTCAACAACCACATGTAGGGCCACAACACCATTTTTTCCAGTCTACGTGGACTCCTCAGCTGCAGTTCTACTCAGAATTGTTACTCATTTCTGGGCAGAGGTCAATGTCTTTGTCCCGCTGAAATAAAGTCTGTGTACACACAACCGTTCCAAGGTTATATTGATGTTTTCATTCTTTCTTTCAGTAATGGCTGTTCTAACATTGACACAAGTATAACTCAGACAATGCATTATGTAATGTACTATTATTCCCCATAATACACTTCAATTCTGAATTTGTTTTCCAGTCCAGAAAAACCAAAGTGACCGTCAACCATTATTGAACCACAGCTAAATATTTTGGGAACCGTTCTTTCTTTGGGCCCTCTACAGGCTCAAACATGGAGACTAACCTTGTATTTCTTTTTTGGAGTTTTAAGACTAGCTTTACTTCAGTAACAAGACTGTTTATTCCAGCTTGTTACGCATTATTTTGCACTTGACATTGAAAAAGGAACATGTATTTAAATTTGCAAATAATTTGTTGCTAAGCTTTCAAAGTATTTTACCAAAGATGTCGGTTTCTTCCATTCTTAATTAACTGTTGCACAGAGGTGTCTTTGTCTCTTTCTGCCCTTTCAGTGAGTCTGGATGAACCATTGTGCAGCATTTTGCTCTCCGTGTACAAAACAAAGCCTTCATAAAAAATATCACGATTTGTTAAGAAGACTTTCTACAACCTTAAACCATGAAAGACCATTCAAATATAGAGTAGTCCTCTCAGCCATCTGACTCTGACAAATCGTGCTTTTGTGGCAGGCGCTTCCAGAGGTGTGGGGGATTCTAAGTCACTGCATTCATAACATTATGATAAATGACTAAATTTGTCATGGCCACTATTCTGATCTCAGACCAGTCTACAAGCCAACATACCACCCACCCTTCACCGGCTGCAGAGCTATGCAGTAAAACAGTACCACCATAGAGGTTTTAGTAAATCCTAGAAAACCATTAAAAGAAAACACATGATCAAATTCATGTGAGTCCATAACTAGCCAAATGTCTGAACAGAAGATTGATTCATACTTATGGGTAAAGTGGCAATCACTCAGCAAGCCTGGCCTTTTACCCTACACTCACACACCACTGCTCTGAGGCACTTCTGTTAGCTGGTCTCACACACAGGAACACACACATACTCCCCCATCCGTACTGTAAAAGTTCCACCATCGCACTCAAACATGCATGTCTACCTGGCAGTGCGCCTGATGTCCAATGTCCAGGCCTTCCAAATCTACACCAACACTGATCTAAACTTCAATAAAGTCCGACTTAGGGAAAGTCTGCCGTGTAGCATACCATGTAAAACGTTATAGTTTTCGCTCCGGCTGTAATTATTTGGTTCACTCTCACAGCTCTCATTGTGTGAGAAAAAGAACACACTGTGAACCATGATGAACATGGTGGAGCATTTAGCAGCTAATTATCTAACTTCATTAGAATTGTCATATACATACATACGTTACATACATAGAGGTACATACATGCAATTGGAACCCTGTATTTAACCCATCCTAAGCATTTGGGAGCAGTGGGCTGCTGTGATGTAGCCAGTATCAAACCACCAGCCTTGAAGTTAAAGGACGATCCGCTCTGCCCGCTGAGCTAAAGCCGCCCCAGATTTTATCATCTTTTTTCCAGTGCAGATGGAAGATGTAGAGCCAAATATATCCTTCCAACGTGTGTTGAGACCAAAAACAGAGCTAAAAGAGAGTGAATAATATACTTCCAGTCCAAACACAACTCCAAATGACAGATATTTGCTAACAACTTTGTCATATCAACATAACAGGTGATATGTTGGCGTTGTCTTCACGAGCTAGTGGGGATGGAAGGAGAAGCTCGGATTAAAACACACACAGAGGGAGAGCGACTTCATTCTCTCAGGAAGACATTACTATACATACCATTATATCTTTACTTAGTAAATAGTTGTTTGCTGCTATATTAATGCGCTGAATCCTGTAGAACCTATAAATTAAACAATGAATCAATTAATAGAAAAAAACAAACATCAGCAGATTAATCAATAGCGGAAATAATTTATATTTGCAACCGAAGAGAGAACGTAATCAATCTGTGAACAATCAAATAAAAAAAGAGGAAATAAGAGATAGTGTGGGATTGAAACTTAACAGAAAATTCTTTTTGAAAGTGGAATATGTTGAAGACGCCCCGGAGAGCGACAGATACTGAGGGTGCAGTCAGGCATTAGAACTGAACTGATACTTTCATAACGTGCAGGCCAAATTAAAATTGCACTGGGTATGCGTACACACACTCACAGTTTAATGAAATCCCAGAGCGAAGTGGCACACAGAGTCAAGGTTGTTCATGTTTTTTTTTTTGATGAAAAACATTCCCAAGT